TTTTTTTTTTTTTTTTTGCGGAACCGGGGATTGAACTCAGGCCCTTGCGCTTGCCAGGGAAGTGCTTATTCCACTGAGCCATCTCCCCGGCCCCTGGGCCTGGCTCTTTATGGATGCTTTCTCATTTACTTTTCACAGCCATGGGAAATGATTATGATTTATTTCAAAGTAGTAGAAGCAGAGTCATCATATGGGTAGTGGGACAGCCTCGGTGCATACCCCGATCTGCCTGCCTGCAGTCTGTCCTCTGTCCCCCGTGCCTGGTTACCAGGAGCCTCTCAGCCTCTGTCCAGAGCTGGGGCAGGGCTGTGTGAGTCCACTGAGAACAAGGCTGCCCTGGGGGTGGAGCAGGCTCTGTGGCCGGCCGGGTCTGCAGGGGCAGCTGTGGTCTCCAGAGGATAGCTGTGGTGCCTGTTTCCAGCCTTCTCACTCTCAGCACGGAAGTCACAGGAGTTCTCACTTTGAGACTTGGGAGCCACTCCCTCGTCTCCCAAGGCCACTGTGAGGAAGGCTTCATGGCAGAGGACTTCATCAATGGTGAACACTTGGGCACTAGCACCTGCGCCTGAGCACGCTGAGAGGAGTGGCAGGCTGGATGGGTGTGGAGGGGCAGAAGGCTCATATCTGCGGTTCTAGCAACGTCTCCACCCTGTCCTAGGGCTTTTTAAAGAGCCCCTGTGGATCCTTCCTTTCTTTCTGCTTGGTGCTTAGCGAAGAGAGGACCCAGGCAGGGAGAAAGAGGGCAGGACAGGAGCTGAGGCACAGTCGGGGGGACAGAGCTGGGGGCTCCGAGGGACGAGCTGTGGCGGGTGTGGAAGCGGTGGGACTGGTGAGCAGGCACTGGCTTCAGGGTAGGAGGAAGTGAGGCTTCAGGTGTGTTTGCACTCCACAAAAATGCTGGGTGGGCAGGAGTGGACAAGGAAGGGAACGAGAGCTCGGGAAGCACTCAGCGTGTGGCGTCTTCGCAGTGACTTCCTGGGCCATTGTGATCTCCGCAAGAGAGTGTGGCCTGGCTACAGAGCAAGAGGCGAAACCTAGCCTTGAACCCAGGCCCGGCGGTCTCAGAAGCCAGACTGCTTTCTGCTGCACTCTGTCCTGCAGCTGTACACCACACCACAGCGGGTGACGACAAAGTTTGATCCATTGGTGACAGGGAGTGCCTGTGCTGCCCTAGTCTTGGCTTGACAGCGGTCACTGCACAGGCGACCTTCTGGAGGTCCTTTCCCAGGGGACCCTCCTCCCCGGGGTGGGCTGCGAGCTGGAGCACAGACACTGGGTTCATGGGGCCACCAAGTCTCTCTGGGTGCAGGCTTTCCAACAATTTGGAAAACAGGCCCGGACAGGAGACCCAGGCATGCCCCCAGGAGCATCAGCTTGGACCTGCCCCTGGCTCCCTGGAGTCATCCCCTAGGCTCTGAGGGCTCTCCCTCCTCACCTCTCTGTAACCCTCAGGCTTCTCACTGCTCTCCAAGTGAGATTTCTAATTAGGAAACTCTGGCTTTCAAATAAGAAAAAGATTTCAGGAGGTGCTGCTGAGCGGAGCCCAGGAGCAGCCCAGGTCCTGAGGGTTGGTGGACATGTATAAGTGGACGCAGAGCCCCGTCCTAACTCCCTGCGCAGAGTGATTCGTCTGTCCTACCTGCTGGCTGCGCGGGGCAGCCACTTCTGAGGCACCAACCCTAAGGCCACAGTCTTCTGTAGTTCCAAAAGCTAGACACTGCCTAGGCTTTGTCTGTGGCTTCTGAAGGTTCTCTCAAGTAAGGACTGCTGGTTGCCAGATTGACTGAGTGATCTGCTTAATTTTTCTCTTTCTCACTGAAGAAAGATCTCTCTTCACTCCCGGCCCTTCCCATGGTTCTTAGCAGTGTGCCCACATTATTGGTACATATTTATTTTATATGTGTGCACATGTATCCTGACATGCAGGTGAGGGTGGGCAGAGTGGACACACACATGTATGAACATACATACACATGTGCACACACACACATGCTCGCACACGCACACACACCCAGTCTACCCCCACACACAGTCACTGGGTTTTCTTCATTTACTACTACTGTCCTTGAAGTTGGTGCCAGAGGTCTGTCAAGGGCTAACCTTGCACACAAACATGCAACTGCCAACTATATGCACACAGTAGGCACTTTATAAGCACTGCACTTAACCCCCAGCTTCATGCCTTGTTGCTTCAGTAGCGCCTGAGACTTAGGACAGCATTCACTACATGTCACACAGCCGAAGTCCCGGCCTGGCTGCCCCTCCAAGGCGGAGCTTGCAACCCCACACTTCTGCACTGCGCCTCCTCTGCCTGTGCTGCTCTGCAGAGACAGATGCGCGCAGCTTCCCCCAGGACAGCCGACTCTGGTCCTGCTGGAGAACTGACACGTTCCTCACAAGAGAGAGAGGCAGGTTGCGCAGGCTGCTGGAGGGCTGTGGGCTGTGGACTAGTTGCCATGAGCCCACCCCACATCTCTCAGTCTGTGCCCAAAATAATACGATACATTTGGCCAGTGCTTAACTATCTTTAGAGTGCTTGTCCCCATTTTGTTGTTACACTTTTTTCTCAGGCGGTGGTGGTGGCGGCGGTGGCAGCAGCAGCAAGCACTAGGAAGTCTCCTAGCTTTAGGTCCCACAGCAGCCCCGCAGTCGGCCTGTAGCCAGTATGCCTGCCCCAGCAGCGCTCTCTCCTAGGCTGTGCCCTGCACAGGTCTGGGGAGCAGCAGGCACTGGCACCCGCAGTGTGGATTATTCATACTTTCCGCTGTGCCTCCACGCCCCCAGAGCATGCGCACTTACCATGAGATGCTGGAAGAGCCAAGAACGCATTATATTGGTGGCATGCTTGGGCAAGACTCCTCGCTTGTTCTTGGACTTCTTATCCTCATTGTCCAGGAGGGAGGTGAGGTCAAGGTTAACCTTCAGGGCATGTGGAGAAAAATCAGCATCAGCAGCCTGTGAGGCCAGTGGCTAGGGACCTGTTGCCATAGCAACAGCAGGCTCTTGCTGCCAAGTAAGTTCTGAACTCATTCTTAGGGCCCTGGGGACGTCCCCTCTCCTTCTTGCCCCATTCTAGCCCCTTGGAGAATGGTGATGAGGCTTGGGGTCAAGGGAGCAGGACAAAAGTAGAGGGAGAAAGAGGAGGAGGAGAGACAGGAGAAAAGGAGATGGGAGAGGAGGTAGAGAGAACATGGGGCATGCACAGAGTACTGAAGACATGGATTTGCCATAAACCATCCGGTAACTGTCAGCTTTTCTGTGATCTTTGTAGGCTGCACAGCCCTTGGCTAACCATTGCCATAGATAATCTTCACAACAGCCCTGTCACTTGGTAGGGCTTTGTGCAGTCCATCCTAATCCCCTTTTATTGATAAGAACACTGTGGCTCTGGGATGATAGGAGACTTAGCCAAGATCAGAGAGGTCATGTCAGATCTTAGGCCTCTAACTTCAGATCTTTCTACAGATCCGCACTCTGTATCACTGAGGTGGAGAGACTTTGTCTGGAGACAAGAACTAGGGACTGTAGGATCCTTTGATGTAGACTCTCAAGGCAGCAAAGTCCCAGGAGTTGATAAAACCTTTTCCGCCCACCCCCAGCTTCTTAGCTGTAAAGTAAGGGTACGGACACCTCCAGGGACAGACAGGGAAGATGAAAAGAATCACTGTATGAAGTGGCTGGTGACAATAAGCCACCGTGAGCGCCCGCCCCTACCCATGCACATCTCACACACCTACACACACTCACCTGTGTGTTCTGGATCTGGATGGCTCCCTGGGGGATTGCTTGGGTGACCACCTGACCTTGGGAGGTTACCATGGTAACCGGTTGGTATAAGGCTCCACCTGAGGAGACAACCAGTTTTGGGGTCCCCTGTCATGGGGGGTTGGGAAGAGTGAGGGCAAACAGGGTCCCCAAGTCTCTTGACATTTGTGTGTGAAGCCCCTCCGCCATGGAGGCTGGGGCAGCAGAGTATGTTTCTTTCATTTGTAGGAGAGAAGCAGGCATGTGGGGCTGGTGTCCAGGTGTGTGAGCAGGGCTTCTGGTGGGAAGTATTTGAGGGAAGAGAAAATAGTCTTACTTAGGCCTGGATGGGGGTTGGCTCATGAAGAATGTGAGCCAACGTTGTTCCAACCCATCGCATTCGAGCCTTGGCGCACTGTCTGCAGACTACTTTAGTAAAGAACCTAAGGATGCTGAGCATCCAACAGCAGTGGGCACCCTCTGATTCTGGATTTCCCTAGGGGCCACCCTGTCTTCTTCCAAGGGTGCTCCCACAACCCCCAGCACCCCATTCCCTGCACTGACCTGACACGACTTGTGAGTTGACGGTTGTCATGGCGATGTTGCCCTGCTGGAGCGCTGAGGCTGGGACCACAATCCCCTGGGGGTTATTGGAGACTCCAGACATGGAATTGGGGGAATTCTGCAGGAGGTCCTGGCAGTAAGGGAGGCATGGTTCATGACAGTGCCCCAGAGAACTGGGGGCTCTAAGCCCCCAAGTCCTCTCCCCTTCCTATCTTCCCTCCTCCTTCCCAGTCCCAAATCCAGAAGGCAATTCTCCTGGCTTCCTAGAGAGACTAAATAAGAAGATAACATTAAGAAAATGAAACTGCAACCCAAAAAACCAACAGTGGTCTATTCAGCCATTCCACTTCCTGGTTACACTTGGGAATCTCAGAGCCTGAACCCAGGGTTGCCAAAGTCCACAAGTCTTAATGGGCCAGGGGTGTGACCAGGAGGGTGGGGGTTGATTTCAAAGCTCCTGGGGCAATTCTGACTGCAGCCACGGCAGAGCCCCTCTCTACACATGCTCACCCCGCAAATGAGTGCTCCATTTGCTTGCTTCCCACGAACCACGGCCCCAGATGTTTTCCCTGGCCATCCTCCCAGCTCCGCCATCCTCCCAGCTCCGCCATCCTCCCAGCTCCACAGTGCCTCTCTTCCTCACATTCTTTTTTTTTGTTTTGTTTTTGCAGTACCAGGGATTGAACTCAGACCTTACGCTTGCCAGGCAAGCACTTATTCTACTGAGCTATCTCCCTGCCCCATTCCTCACATTCTGTAGAGCAGCATTTACTACATTCCACATCAGGCACAAAGCAGCCTCTAGATTTATTT